TTGTACAATCTAGAAAAATATCATGAAAATGAGTCTTAATTACTCATAAATCGAGGCTCAAGAGGGGGTTTAATAATACAAGGAAAAATCTGATTTTCATCTTGAAATCAAGTGCAAAACGATCAAGCAATCTTGAAGGAAAAAGATGAGTTCTAAAAACGCAATTTCCTTTAAGTTCGGAAATTTCAGATTTGAAAAGCAATCTTTGGAAAATCGTATCTCATTCTTTGTAAGTCCAAAATTGAAAAGCTTGGTACCGTTGGAAACTACTTCCAGAGTACTAAAAGTTATTAGAAGGTACTTTTTTATGATTTCAAATGAAAGACATTCAAATTTTGGCTTCAAATTGTTGTTTTGGAATACCAAGACAGTTTTGTGGTTGATTTTTGGCAAACTTTGGAAATTCGGCAAAATTCACAGAATGCGAGCTAGCTTCTGAAATTTGGAACTCAATTAGAATACAATCAAAGTTTAAAACAAAATAAATGGAATAAGAATCAGAGTTTTGAGCGCCAAGATATAGTAGCTCAAAGTTGCTGAAAATTTCTCACTGAACAAGGGTTTTCCAGATTTGAAACATGAACTTTGAGACTTTGGTTGGGCATTGAAATGGACATGGAATGGTACCAAATTTTGTAATATTACCCTACCATATAGGGACTATTCCTCTGTCATATTTCATGCAAAAATTCGTATGGAAGGTCAGTTAACAAAGCCATTAAAGTTCCAAGAATTTCCAAGGCAAACCTACCTTGTACTTCAATTTTCCTTTTTCTAACTTTTGGGTCAATGAAATCATCTCAAACATGGTTCAATTATGAAGACAAGGTCTAATAAACATCCAAGATACTTTTGGTAGGTGGTTAACACCAAGAATTTCAAAATAACAAGTCCCAATTCAAATTAAGGCATTCAACTAGCCAAAAAGAGGGTTTTTCATCACTGAGACAGTTTCGCAATTCGGCGACAACTCACTCAATTCAACTTGAAATTAAGCGTGGTTGGTGACATTGGAAACTAAATTCATAAGTTACAATTTTTCAGAAGAAATCATTTTGAAATTATGTCCATAACTAGCTCATATTCAAGCATCAAGTAGCAGCACATAACAGGTTCTCTAACACAGCTGAGAAACAGGGCAGGTGACTTTGAAAGGCTGGTATTGTTCACTCAAGTGGAATCATGGGATGTATTTTATACCGTTGGAAAACTGGAAGTGTCTAGTTTCTAATGCCGCAAAGGGCACTTGATTTCGATATCGGAGCAAAGAGTTATGGTCAATTCAAAATCACTGCCAGAACAACTCTGGACACGTTTTCCAGTTGTAAAGAAATTTCGAAATTTCAACTTTTGGCCAACCAAATCAAGTGATTTTTCGTGAAAACTTTCCACGCAACCTATACAATATATTTTCATCAAAATCAAGTCAATTGGATTACAAAATTTTGCACCAACAGGTGCGGCAAAATAGGGGCAGAACCGGCACTTTTCTTCCTTTTGTTTCCTTTGAGTTTTCTTTCCACTTTTCAACTTATAATCACTAGTTTAACCACTAATTCAACATAAACAACACTGATAGCATCATGGGGCATGGTCATGCTAATGGTGGCACGGGTGATCGAGGAGTTGAGGATCGCGTGCAAGCTCCAAGCGGATCCATTACTAGGGCTTGCGCAAAAAGACTTCGTGAGCAACTCAATGTACTTGTTCAGGCCATACACAAGTCCTTTGAGGGATTCATACACCCTAGTGAAGGTGATATAGGTCCGGTATTGAGTATTGAAGCTATACGTGAGTTTTTGGGTTTTGCCAAACCCTGGTTCCCATTTTAGTAGTCCATTTATTTCCACAATAGTTTGATTAGCTTGAATAATTGGCTAAGTGCATGTTGCACATAGAATTGCCAAGGGTAGGATTGCTATTTATTCATCATTATTTGTTAAGGTGGGCTGCCTAGGAAGGAAAGCCCGCATGAAACCCTATCCGTCGAGGGTTGAGCCCGTAACTTCCTTTTCCGTTTCCGTTTCCGTCACTTATTAGGGCCCATATCAGCCGCACCTTTAGTTCCTTTCCTTACTAGATTAGGTTTTCACTTGTAGCCTATATAAGGCACCATATTACGTCAATAAAGGGTAGACACTTTTGTCATAAAATACGTAAGAGAGTTTTCTCCATAGCTTTTGAGCAACCCTTGAACAACTTAGAGTTATACTCTAGTGTTCTTGTTCGGCTTATCAATTCAAGAATCGCACCTGAATCGTGGCACCTTCTACATTTGCCTGAGGTTCGCTAATTCGTTTGATTACGGGTTGAGATAATATCAACAAGTTCGTAGTCACGGGAATTAGAGGGGTCGTAGGGTTTCCGCTGCTACCATTTCTTGCGTCCGAAGTCAAATCCAACAAGCGATCTTGGGTCACGAATCTTCTCCCCAACGAGATTCGTATCAGCTGGCATCAAAGCTAGCTTGTTGGTAACATCATCTTATCCCTCTTTTCATGTCTTGATTCGTGTCTTTAGTATCTGTCTCGTTAGTAAAAAAAATTAAATTATGTTCATACAACTACAAAATGTCTGCAAGTCTTCCTTTTTTTTTTCAATTCTAGTCATTGTGTTTTGGTGTCTGTCTTGGGGTCGTCTTCGATTTCTGGAATTTCTGGAAGTCAAGTGTGTTGTGTTTGGTTTGGTGGTATGTGATCCCAACGTTTGTTAACAAAAAAAAAAAGGAAACAAAACCAAACCGCTAGTGTTCTTAGTGTCGCTCCCGTATTGCTGTGACCCTGAATCTTGTGCAATCTATCTGTGTCCTGTTATTGCCAATTCCTATTGAGTCTTGTGTGTTAAATCTGGACAAGTCTTGCTGACATTACTTCCACCGCTTGGGTCCAGCAAACCAAGGTGTCCAACGGTGTTGAAAGTTGTGTCCAAGTCGCACAACAAGACATAGAGTCATTCGAATTTCTGTCTTTGCCGCACTTGACATTGTTTTTCTTGCACTGACCAATCTGACCGAGTTGTCCCTTAGTTGTTTGTGCTCTGTGTCCTAGTTGATCATTATCTAGGAAAGTATTGGTACCTTGTTCTTGAATTTCGTAAGCAAACTTCATGGTTTCTTGGAGCTCTTGAAGAAATTCTTGATACCTTTGAAACCTGGAAATTGCAGCGATCTTCTTGGAGTTTTGCTGGAAGTTTGGTGATGCGTTACAATTCCTGAACTCTCTTGATTGTAAATGGTGGGTCTAAACCTGGAGTTGAGCCTTGACACGTTTGGAAACCACAACCTAGCCTACCCGATTCCAACAGCCACCAAAACAGACTGCAACAAAACTCAAACAGACCTGGAAAATTTTGGGTAACCAAAGCCTTGTTCATCCGGAAGTTGCTGCTGTACAACAAAAAAAAAACACAGCAAGCAAATTTCAAGACAAAAGGGTTTTGAACATTTTTATTGAATTGGGGAACTCAAACAAACACAAAAAAAAAACAACAACTAGAGGTTTGTTAGGACACAATTGCAGACTACATTGAGCCTAGTACATTTCAAAAATTCTGATCAACAACCTCGTGAGTTTCTTGAGTCTCTTGAACCTTGAAAACTTGAGTCTTGCATTTCTTGAACAATTTGAAATACTCTCGAGCATCTGTAAAAGGTCTTCGAAGAGTTCTTGTACTTTTTTTGGGAGGTTCTTGGGTCACCTGAAGGAAGGGAGCCCGTGGAGGAACCTGAGCATCACTTTGGGTGTGCGACTTCATCTGGTTAGTTGTCCTTGCTCCTAGTAAGTAGGACAGGTAGAGGGAGCCGAGTTATATCACCAAAATATTCCAACCTTTGTGCACTCCTAGAACAAGCGGGAAAGGGAAGCCACTCGGCTGCACATCTAGGAACAAAAAAACGGGGGGACAGCAGCTAGAGGACTTCCAAACCTGATTGGTTTCTAAAACCAAAAGAGTTCTCAAATTCTTATTGCCTCCTGATTTGTAGCCCCTACTTGTCCATATTGAAACAAGGCTTTCCCGCACCTCTGCAAAACAAACAGACCCAACACCTATAGTCAGCTAGAACAAGAATTAACGGACCAAAACAAAATCCAGCAAGGCACAAGGACCACGTCTTTGTCGATTAGGGTATTCGAGTATCATTCTTAATTTTTTGTAGCTTTTGTGTCAAGTTTTTTTCCGATTCTTACTCTTGAATATATTCTACCACTCCATTCTCAGTGTTCTAATTTTGTTTTCCAAGAAAAATTCTACTCTTACGAACCTCAAATTCTAGCGTGAACTTGATTTTTTTAAACTAAATTTGAGCACTTGAGGAATTCTAATTTCGTCAAGGTGTTGCAAGGGGCTGTGAGAAAATTTTTGGTGAGCTCATTAGAGTGATCTGAGTGACCATATACGAGTGTGAGAGTATACACTTAGGGAGTGAAGTGAAAAAAAAACGTTTCTTTCCTTTTTCCCTTTTCTTTGCTACTAACCCTTGTAGGTACACTCAAGACTCCATGTCTAGTAGAAACGAAGGAGTATCCCGCCCCATGGACTTTAAAAAGATGATGGAGAAAATGGAAAGGCATTTCCAACGCATGCTAGAACCAATTCAAGATGAATTGCTGCAACTTCGAGCGTCTGGAACACCAAAAACTTCTAAGTCTACGTGAAGACGAAGGGACGTGGAGGAGTCCGATGGTTCCAATCATGATGATGACGACAAGGAACCTCGTTTTCGACCAAGGCATAGGAACCAAACTGGACCTACCGATGTGTTCAAGGGGATCAAAATGAAAATTCCTGAATTCAAAGGACGGTCCGATCCCGAGGCCTTTCTCGAATGGTTATCCAAGATCGAAATGGTTTTTTCTTGCCAAAACTGCACCGAGATACAAAAGGTGCAATTGGCAACCATGGAATTCACTGAATACGCTGTGGTTTGGTGGGACCAAATCAAGAAGTCTAGAAGGAGAAATGGGCTACCTGAGCTCATTCCATGACTCGAGTTTCGAGCCATGATGAGCACCCGATTTGTTCATGGACACTATACTACGGATTTGTACCACCAATTACAAACCCTAATCCAAGACAACCGGAGTGTGGATGAGTACCATAAGGAGATAGAGATCCTGATGCTCAGAGCGAATGTACAAGAGGATCCCGAGGCCACCATGGCTAGATTCTTGAACGGGTTACGACCCGATATTGCTGAACGAGTGGAACTTCAACACTATATAGAGTTGCATGAGCTTGTAAACAAGGCCATTAAGGTCGAGCAAAGGTTCAAGATGAGGGGTACCACTCGATCGAATTTCGGCAATACCACCTACTCTACCAACCAGCCATTCCAACCAAGCAATGATTCTCGGCCTTCGCCAAATGCTCCTACACCAAAGCCGAGATTCGAGGGAGGTAAGATGGGCAATTCTAGTATTGGTAAGCCACCCTCTTCTACTCCAAAATTTGAGGAGCCTAGGGCACAAACTAGAACTCGTGATACTCGATGTTTCAAATGCCAAGGTAGAGGCCATATTTCTAGTCAATGTCCGAATCAAAGGACTATGATTATGATGCAAAATGGCGAGATCCTGAGTGAGGACAAAATCGAGTACGAAGGCATGCCACCTCTTGAAGGAGGTAGTGATGGTGAATCACCAAATGAAGAGGAGTTTAGTGCACCCGAGGGTCATTTTGGGACTGCATTGGTTGCACGGAGAGCATTAACTGCACGTGTCAAGAAGGATGAGTTTCAACGAGAGAACATCTTTTACACCAAGTGCTTTGTCAACCAAGCACTTTGCAGTGTGATTATTGATAGTGGGAGCTGCACAAATGTAGTTAGTTCACTCATAGTGGACAACTTGAAACTGCCTACAAGGGATCACCCGCGACCATACAAACTCCAATGGCTCAACAACTCTGGGGAGGTTCGAGTAACCAAACAGGTTCTTATATCCTTCCAAATTCATAAGTATTCTGATGATGTATTATGTGATATAGTTCCTGAACAGGCTAGTCACATTATACTAGGTAGGCTGTGGCAATTTGACAGGCAGGTAACTTTTGATGGTGTGACTAACAAGTATAGTTTCTTGTACAATAGTAAGAAAGTCACCCTAACTCCCCTTTCCTCAAAACAAGTTCATGAAAATCAATTGAAATTGCAACAGGAGTATGAGAAGTATTGTACAAAAAAGAAAGAAAATGTGAGCGTCGAGGCAAAAAGAGAGAGGAAAAAGACTATAGATAGCTCGACAAGTGAGGTAAAATCCGAGGGAAAACGAATGCTCCTGATAAAAGCCAAAAAAGTGAGGAAGTTAATGAGAGATGAGCAGCCGCTTCTTATGCATGTCAGCAAAGAAACAGCTCTGAATGTGCATGAACTTGATACTGACATACCTCTTGAGGTTAAATCTCTTTTGCAGGAATATGTGATATCTTTCCCAAGAACATACCAAGTGGATTGCCATCACTTAGAGGCATTGAGTATCAAATTGGTTTCATCCCTGGGGTTTCTTTGCTAAATCGATCAACTTACAAGAGCAACTCGAAGGAGACTAAGGAGTTGCAAAGGCAAGTGGATGACTTGCTTGGTAAAGGATGGGCACGTGAGAGCTTAAGCCCGTGTGCTGTCCCAGTCATTTTAGTACCCAAGAAAGACGGTACGTGGAGAATGTGCACCGATTGTAGGGCTGTGAATTCCATCACGATAAAGTATCGCCACCCTATATCTCGCTTAGATGACATGCTTGATGAGTTACATGGAGTTGTGTTTTTTACCAAAATTGATCTCAAAAGTGGGTACCATCAAATTAGGATTAAGGAGGGGGATAAATGAAAAACTGCCTTCAAGACTAAGTATGGATTGTATGAGTGGTTAGTGATGCCTTTTGAACTAACTAATGCACCTAGTACCTTCATGAGGTTAATGAATCATGTTCTACGTCCATACTTAGAAAAATTTGTGGTAGTTTACTTTGACGATATCTTAATTTTATAGCAAGTCTTATGATGAACACTTAGAGCATATTAGGGCTATTATGGATGTACTTCGAAGAGAGAAACTCTATGCCAATCTCAAGAAGTATAATTTTAGCACTAACAAGCTTGTGTTCCTAGGGTTTGTTATAAGTGCGTAGGGAATGAAGGTGGATGATCAAAAGGTGAAAGTTATTCAAGAGTGGCCAACACCAAGGTCTGTGGGCGATGTTCGAAACTTCCATGGCCTTGCGGGTTTCTATAGGAGATTCGTGAGAGACTTTAGCACCATTGCTACACCCTTGACCGAATTGAACAAGAAGAATGAGAACTTCCATTGGGGAGATTCTCAAGAACAGGCTTTTCGCGCTTTAAAGCACAAACTCACACATGCACCTGTACTTGCTTTACCTGACTTTTCTAAAACATTTGAAATTGATTGTGATGCTTCAAATATTGGGGTTGGAGCCGTGTTGAACCAAGGTGGGAGATCTATTGTCTACTTTAGTGAGAAACTCAATGGGGTTGGACTGAACTACTCAACTTATGATAAAGAGTTGTATGCCCTCATTCGAGCACTACAAGTGTGGCAGCACTACTTAAGACCTAAGAAATTCGTGATACACACTGATCATGAGTCCCTTAAATACCTTAAGGCCCAGCACAACTTGAGCAAGAAGCATGCAAGGTGAATTGCATTCGTGGAGTCCTTCCCGTACGTGATTAAATACAAGGCTGGTAACTCTAATGTGGTTGTGGATACACTCTCATGAAGGTACTCCCTAATCACTTACTTAGATGCTAAGTTGTTAGGATTTGAGCTAATTAAGGAACTATACGCACAAGATAGTGATTTCGGTGAGTTATACATTTCTTGCAAACACACCGGGCAAGGTAAGTTCTTCATTTCTGATGGTTACTTGTTTTGTGTCAATCGATTTTGCATCCCACGTGGCTCAATCTATGAGCTTTTGGTAAGAAAATCCCATTCGGGTGGCCTTATGGGACACTTTGGGGTTAATAAGACTCTTGTCATACTGTAGGAACACTTCTATTGGGCGCACATGAGGAGAGACGTTGAACGGGTGGTAGAGCGATGCTTAGCTTGTAAGAAAGCTAAATCCAAGGTACACCCGTATGGCCTTTACACCCCGTTACCTATTTCTAGTGCACCATGGGTTGATATTTCTATGGATTTTATACTTGGTTTGCTTAGATCCAAGTATGGTCATGACTCCATTTATGTAGTAGTTGATAGATTCTCTAAAATGGCATACTTCATTGCTTGTCATAAAACGGATGATGCATCTCATATTGCTAACTTGTTCTTTAAGGAGATTGTGGCATCCCTAGGACCATTGTATCTGATAGAGATGTCAAATTTCTGAGCTACTTTTGGAAGACCCTCTAGTCTAAATTAGGCACCAAATTGCTATTCTCTACTGTTAGTCACCCCCAAACTGATGGTCAAACTGAGGTGGTAAATCGTACATTATGTACCTTGTTGCGTGCCCTCATCAAAAAGAATTTAAAATCATGGGAAGAGTGTTTACCTCATGCTGAGTTTGCTTATAATAGGGCTGTCCATTCTACTACTGGTTTCTCTCCATTTGAATGTGTTTATGGTTTTAATTCGCTAACACACCTTGATATAGTGCCATTACCTAGTAATGAGCGTGCACAATTGGATGGCGAGAAAATTCAATATCATCACATCAGTTCATCAAGTCCATTGTGGGATTTCATAGAGCCCACTCACAAGATCTACAACAATCCAAACCTACCCACATGAAACTACAAGTTTCTAAGTGCAATATAACTTACAAAAACTAAAATTCAAAGGCTTGATCGTCATTACCTCCTAGATGTTGCTAGAGCAGAAATTTTCGGTCCATTGAAACTCAAGAAAACTGTGAGGTTGAAACTCTTTTCCTAACTTAAGTTGATCTCCAAGTTATTTGCAAGGTGTAGTGTGAAATTGAGGTGATGTGGTGCAAGAAAGTGAGGTGAAATGAAGAAAATTTTTGGTCTTCTTCTCCAAGGTGATGCATGGCTGTTTGAGTGAGAAAGAGAGAGTTGTTGCAGCTGCAAAAGCTTCTTGAGGAAGCTTAAGAATGTGTGGCCAACAATGCTCCAAAAGTCAACTAGGAATAGTGCGCATACGCGCGCATTTCGTACTCGATTCCTCTCAGGTTTATTTCACTTGTGCACTAAACCTCTAATGCACTTCCATTGATACTATTATTATTCACTCTTATTAGTCTAAAAATAAAGGTCTAAAGTCTCTCGATTAATCGCGCGCGCGAAAACGCGTACTTCCGATTTGTGCGTGATAGAGCAAAATTTTTAAGGAATTCTTATAACGATAGTATTACTAACTAATACTTGAGTATTTAAACATAAAAATACCTATTTTAAAACTAATGTATGAGTTTTCAATCTTCAAACTCACTGTACCCTCAAATCGATTATTGCCTCCAAACGCATGTCCACTATTCTCACTAGATGAGCTTCCAAAAATTAAATTTTGTAACAAGTCATTTTAAAAATATATGCAAGTCATAGTTCCATGTAATTGGGTCTAAAAAGGTTGGAATATAATATTCGGAGCAAATGGGCAATTAAATATTTAAATAAACTAGTAATAAGAATTTAAAATAAGTAAATTTGCGAGTCCTCATATGAGTCTAGTATTAATTTTTCAAGTCTCCAATTTGTCGTGCAGTATGACTTTCTGGAAATTATCGATGTACGCGTAATAAAAACTTTATTTAATTTAATCACATCTAATCTCTCAATTAACCCTTCTTAGTCCCCTATTGATCATCCTTAATTCTCCAAAATCATTGTACTCTCAGATCGACTATCATCTCGAAGGTGTGTATTTGTTATTCCTTAATAAACAAGCCTTCAAAAAATTTAAATTTGTTAGCGAGAGACGTTTTAAAAGTATAAATAAGACATAGTTCCATAAAAATGAATTTAAAAGGGTTGAAATAAATTGTTCGAAAAAAACAGGTGAATAAACATTTAGATAAGCCAATATGAGATAAAATGAGAAAATTTTCAGGTCCTCACATCCTTCCCTCCTTAAAAGGAATTTCGTTTTCGAAATTCACACTTAGAACAATATCATTCCCTTAATGGTTAACCTATCAGATCAATCACTAACTTACGTTTTCCAACCCATACTTCGAAATTTCTCTTCATCCAACTAGCAATCAAACCTATTTTTTTCCCCAATAAGTATTTTAACTTTCAAGTCATAAGATAATTTAATTGGTCTCACATCTGTTTTACTCATGAATCTAGGATTTGCAAAAGGAATGTATCATGCCGTGGTCACTTAGAACCTTAGTTAAGTAAATTCTACCAGTGTTAAGTACTTATTCCAACTTTCTCCAAAATTCAAGATACATGTTCTTAAGGGCCTGAATTGTCCTCTCGGACTGTCTATCAGTCTATGGGTGGTAATTGATCGTACAATCATAGTCCTCCAACTCCACCCACCTTCGTTATCTCAAGTTCAACTCCTTTTAGCGAAAACAGGTACTTAAGACACTTGTGATCCATGAAATGCTCAAAAGTTATTCCGTACAAATAAGATCTTCACTTTTCAATCTAAAATCTTTACCGGTCCTTTATCATAGGTCAAATTCTCATCAAGTCCTATTTCTTTCATTCAAACTCACACTTATTGAACTTAACAAAAATTGGTGCCCCCTTGGGGTTTGTAAAGCTATCATCAGGTGTCTTTCATGATTTTCTCTAACCTTAGAGCATACTGATATACCATCAATAAATGCCACCACAAATTGATCCAAATGCGGTTTAAAACCTCGATGCATTAAGTCCGTAATTACTGCTAGCGCATCAGTCAACCCAAAAGGCATAGCTGTGAATTCGAAGTGTCATGTTTTAAATTAAAAGTGATCTTGAATATGTTAGTTTCTAAGATCCTCAACTAGCAATAGCTTCTATTGTAAACCCAATTTGAATAATTCCACGGCCCTTGCAATTGATCACACTCTTATCTATACGAGATGAAAAGGCAATTGTTCTTAATAGTCATATTGTTCAAGTTTCAATAGTCTATGTATACTCTCAAGCTTCCATCCCATATACTATACCCTGTCCCTTAATTGTTAGATTCATTCAATCTATCAAATATTTTCTTTCACTAACACAAACCTCACAACCTTAATATATCAATTTGGCAATCAAATATCGGGTCCCAACTTCAACTCTAAGTTCTCGATTTTTTTTTTCACCGATCCCTGGTCATCTCTGAGACCTCGGGGTTGCCTATGCTCTCAATTATAATCTCGACCACGTCTACTACTGTCCATGTCTTATCACCAAATTAAAAGTGTGGGGCAAAGTTTAAATATACCTGTAAGCCATGAAATCATTTAAAAGCAAGTAAATTGTTATATGTTATAAAAGATCATAATAGTTACTTCAAGTTGGAATAAGTCTATCAAATCATTTCAAAAGAAGAAGAAAAACAACAAGGTCATAACTGAATGTGCCGAGTTACCAAAATATAAAACAACAAAAGTATTTTTCTCTTTTTACAAAAGATTGCCACTTCTAAAGTGTCAGTCTAGACTAGGTAAACTATAACCTCTATTTCTAAGACAGACTCAAATCCATTCCCGCTCGTATTACTTCCATTACTTGAGTCTCTCTCATAGCCATTAGCATTAATCACCCCTTCCGGCCATCGACTGCTTTGCAGTAAATCCAACAGACTGCCAAGTCTTTCCTCTTTTCTTAGAAGCTCTAAGACAATTTGAAAACTTATATTCGGTACTACCGCACCTCAAACATTTTTCTTGTTTTCTCCAACACTTAGTC